GCAGTGGGGAAATGCGGCACGAGATGGTGGTGTATGGTGTTCGAGGCGATCGGCCTTGTCAGATTGGAATGCATATTTGTGTGCTGATGTTGTTTGAGAGCAGTGGAGGTGCAAGCATCAGGCACAGTTTTGCGCAGTGTTCAACACTTAGCATGAATGGTGGAGCAACTCTGCACTGGCTTCATGGAGTGGCAAAGTATTGGGTGCTAGCTGACAGTGGGGTGCCTCTGAAATACTGCCCCTGTTTGGGGAAGTTGTCCGTGCTTTGTGTGTGTGTGTGTGTGTGGCAAGTGGTGGGCCCTTTAATGTGAGTTGCGCAGTGAAGGTCAAACAAAGACTGACTACTGTACTGACAAAACCCTCGCCGTTAAGACAACAGCAGGGAGTGGAAACACGCTACAAAAGTGGTGGGTGTGTGTGGTTGGGCCTTGGTTGGAATGGGAGAGAGGTGGAGAGCGGATTTGAATAGACCTTACTTTGTTTTCGATATTGACGGTGTCGATCGTGCACTCGCTCTGCATATTTGGTGAGAGGTGCATAGGCGTTTTTTTTATTCGCAGGATAGTAGATGTGCCAGGTCTTTCCTTCGGAGGGTTTGGTGTTTTAGATGGACCCATTCAATGTGTAAAACTGGATGATCATTAGCCTTGAACTCTTTTGACCGAAAATTTTGTTTTCTGCGTTAAATCATACTGCAGTGTAAGTGTTATGTTGTCAAATTTGGATTACAGGTAGTCACTGCCACTTTAATTACATTGGATATTTTCTCTTCCATTGTTGCCTTTCATATCGCTAAATTTATCTTTTTGGCATCGAGTCTGTGCGAAGTGTAAACGTCGAATCCACTCGTTTTCTTCGGGACCGTATCGTTGTTTTATCACCCTTCCTATTCCATTTCCCTTTATTTTCTCCCACCGATTTGCATATGCACTAGATTCGAGACGTCTGGAAATGTTCCTTCCACACTTTCATTTTTCCTCTGTAAGATCTAATATGTGGCAAAGATGTTTGGTTCCGTTTTGGTGAGCACACCTGTGTGAAATTATTTGAGCCTTATTTTCTGTATTAAGAATGGGGTCCCTTGACATATTTTTTTTCTGGGATTATTTAGCCAGTCCTTCTACCTACGGCGGGTGTCGTATGAGGGGTTGTGCTTCATTTGACTGTTTTGATCACCCCATTACTCTCTTTTTAATAATCTTCCTCTCGTTTAGGGAGCGTTCAGAGTCACTTCATTTGGAGGGTGCATCGCTTGTCTATCGTTTAATAACCTCTGTCCATAAGCCCTCGTGAACGAAAGAGTGAAGGTAATGCTAATGTTGACTATGGGACGCTACGGAGAAGTGGAGTCAGGATATTCTTGCGTGGCATTGGTCGTAAAACTAAGGGAAGAGTGCTTTAATTACAAGAAGAGTAACTGATGGTGACTATTGTTAGTTCACAAATTATCTTTTGCCATCTTTTACTGTTCCACATCTCCATTGTATTGCTGCATCCTAGGCCGCAAATTCCTTGTTTTTTCACGATGTGTACGGCGTTTGTGTCCAGGATTTATAGTCAGCTTTTTTCAAAGACATCAAAAGTAATCATTCCCACCGAACAAGAAACCAAAAGGTTTTTGATAAAGTTATTGGCCAATCTCATTTTCGTATATGCATTTACAAGTTTTCTTACCTTTATAAATGATCTCCAATCTTCAGCCTATCTTTTAGCACTTAATGATAGAGTCAAGATTTTTTCCTTGTATTTTCGGGAATTCTTTCCACAGTTGGCATTCGATTTCTTATTCCGAAATACCTTATAATACATGATGCTGAAGCAGACGTGTGGAAGAGCGGAGAAACCACTGGCACCCAGCGAGGATGGAAAGGCTGAGTTCGCCAGCTGGGAAAGCGAAGCAGATTTTGCAAATACCGTGCAAGTCTAAAATCAGTTTTGGGCAATAATAAACTTTGTATTTGCTTCTTGTTTATGAACCACAAAACAAAATTGCTTTAAATGTCTCGACTTCCATTTCGTTTATTGCCTGTACGTTGTAGGAGTAATTTTAGGCATTTTTTGTTTGTATAGATAGGGGAGGTCTTTTGAAATACAGAACCTTCTTTCATTTAATTTTTTCGGTGAGTAACGAAAGTCACTGCTTTTAGCGCTTCGATTATGAGAGCGTTACCGACGCAGACTTATATGGTTTTCAAGTCCATAAAATAAAGCATCCTGCACAAATAACTGTTTCTCACCTTCCGTATTGATGAAAACATTCGTTACAGGACGCAGGAATTTTGTTGTGACATAGAAATAATGTGCTCCAATTTGTCTCCCTAATTTATCATCGGCTTTTGTTGTTGTTTACCCTGTCTGTGCACGAGCCAGGATTGTTTAACACGTCAGAAAAACAGGATGCACACTTTGGGTGCGGGAATTGGCAGTTCTGAAGGAGCATTCCACCCCCAATGGGGAGAAGTTAATGAGAAGCGCAACCGGCCCATCTTTCCCGTCAGTAGCTGGAGTCCATTGCCAAAGTCGAGTGGAGGAGCTGTTAGTCACAGTGGTTATTTGTGTCTATGGCATAAGCAGCGTGGATCAAGGAAAGAGAAGTTATTTAAACAATGGAGTGATTCGAAAAATGGACTCACGCTCAATAAAGCACAGCAAACGACAACTGAAGCAAGCTAAGCGTATGAGTACACGTCAGTGACGACTAACCGTACCACCATCATCACTTGGGGGCAGTCAGACACTTCGCGGGACGCCTTATCAGCAGACATTGTGTGGAGCAATCACATTAAAAGGCAAGACAGTGTGAAGACAGACAAGTCTAAAGCGCTTCTCATTTTTTGGGCGGCTTAATCTACCCATCCTAGGTACTTGTAAAAGATAGGAGAAAGAGTATTCCATTTCACACAAAACTGCATTGCAACTAAGGCCTCACAGTGTCAGTGATGCAGCAGCAAGATCGATTCAACCAAAGTCTGTATCCTGTTTTGACGAATTGAGACAATTCTGTCACGTTCGCAGGCGTAGTAATCAAAACAAAGTGCTGAATCACAGAAAGGCTTTAGAGCACCGTTATTGCCTCATTTTATGCCTTGGCTAGTACAAGCAACTTTGTTTTGCTCTCTTTGTAAGAGGGCCTCAGAGGAGCCCATCAACTTTATTAGCAAAACATGCAGACAAATCCGCAATGGCAAGGCTCTTGGAATCAACGCTTTCGGCGCAGTAACCTATCATTGGTTGTTGTAAACAATGCATCAATAAGGATTCTTATTCGCGATGCTTCCTCTGTTTATGCAAATAAACTAATCTGAGGGGATGTGCCAAATAGGTAAGTGAGGTGTAAATATTTCCGGAAGCAATGCTCAAAAACGTGGTTTCTTGCGAAACTGTTGCTGGGGTAGCGTTAGTCTTAATTTATACGCAAATTGTCCCTCAATCTCCAATGCCTTCCTAACACCTTACGATATACTTCCACGTTGAGGTACGATTGTGGCCCCTAATTTCGGATGATAAGGAATGGAGCCTTCGAAGAATTTCATAGTGAGACTCTGCTTAATTTTGTGTTTTAGTTTTACAGCCACTGAGGTTTCCGATCCCTCCCAATCCGATTCCTTGTTAGGTAAAAAAGCTAAAAATATTAGAAGTGGCAGTAGTACCAGCGCAGCTGAAATCGTTAGCTATGCAGATAGCGGCGGTACCCATTTGATGACGCCAAATAAGCTAACACATGATACCTCCTTCACCTCCACTGCCTGGACAGAATTAGGTTGCACATGAACGGACAGCTCCAAAGTGTGGAAAAAGCGACGAGTAAAAGAGACAAGACCTAATTCATTGACTGATTTCCGACTCGTGTTATGGCGACTAGCGATATGTTCAAATAGGCCGAAACTTGAATATATATGGAAACAAAAGAAGGATCAGTGAAGTTACAGCACGGGAATTCGGTAACTGACATGGAAATTCTGTGTTCCTCTTTGATGACGAAGCGGAATGTTGCCCATGGGGAAGGGGCGAAGGAAAGTCGAGAGCATGGCCAAACGCGACTACAAGTTCAAATCCTCCTTGTCAGAACCCGATGTTGTAGCTCACGTGTCAGCATGAGTCGTGCTAGTACTCATACACTGACGATTTCTAGCTTTTCAAAAAGACTATCAAGGCACCTCTGTTCCCTCAAAAGAAGCCCAATTTAATGCGCTCATGTTCATTCATATTCCTTCGTAAAGAACTGTGCATTAATAAACCAATTAGAAGATCAAATGTTACAGTAGAAGGACTACCACATGGTAAAGGCGACATGCATAGGGATACCTGAGTATCGGTAGAGAAGCAAATGAGCCTGGGAGGGTAAATTACACCAGGATGGTAATGAAAGGTAAACAAAGCTCTTCAGGGCGTTCGAGAGGAGGGCAAAAGGGAGGTGACAGTGGAGGAGGTTGTACTTTTCGGTGGGAAGAAGACGTCTTTGGTGAGGGTGCTTACGATCGAGGGGACCTGCTTTTTGCCCGAGTACGCCGCGGTAGAGGCCAATGACTCGAACTCGAAGGCCACCTCATGATTTACCCGCGTCATTATGGACATGAGATCGAGAATGCGGCCGTACTTGCGCAGGCAATTGTTCAAAGCCTGGATGAACCACGAACCGTGGACCGAATTTCTAAATGCGTAGTATCCTAAAAAGATTGAAATAGATTTATGGTTACCTCCAGCCCCCATTTCCACTCAGAGGTCATAACCAAAGATGACTTTGGTTTATATCGTTTGTGCCCTGAAATGGAGCCCAGAAATGGGTTTCTGCACCCATTAAATTGCAACCATTCCACAACATGATCAATAACATTACGATTCGGGAACCTGTGATCCCCAGAGCAACTTTGGATCAGGATTTTGCAGCATAGCAAAGGACTAATAACGGATCAGGTTTGGATAATTAGGGGTTCGAGTTCAGTAAAACATCATTTAAGGTCCCTCATTCAGACGGACTAAGCGCTCAGTGAGTTGTTGATTATATGATCTAGAGTGGTGCTTAGAGCTTAGTCACATAGTTGCTGGCATGAAAGTGGTAAGATTGGGTGCTTATTAGGCAAATTAATGCGCCGCTATCTGTCCCCAACTTGTAAACTACTTAATCGGGCTAGAAGAAAGCGCCACAATGTTCGCACGAGTTCCAGAGCAACACATTGGTGGCTGTTAAAGACGAACCCCATCGCAAAGGCTCATTGCTCCGATTTCCACCCTTGAAAATAGTATGAAAGGTCCGAATAAGAGAGACTATGGCAGCCTCTAACGGAAGTGTTGAAAATGGCACCTACCCTTGGCAAATACTCGAATATCATGATCTGGAGGAAAGCTTTTAACAACTGCAACGGCCTTAACCACGAGCGATGAAAGTGGCTCTTTGGTCCCTTCTCCCGTTTTCGAGATTGTTCAGTTTCAAAGGAAGGGAGATTTAGAATTCTTTAATGAAACAAAATGTGGGCAAATGAAGGTATTGTCGAAAACAACACCAAATGAAATGTTAATTGATTGAAAAAGGCATGTTTGTACCACAAACTCGTGCTGCCCTTATTGCAAGTGGAACATTAAACCTGCCGGAATTCAATTTCCAAGGCCACTGTCCCACTGTGTGAACCTTGTGTACTGACAACAAATCCCAGGTCACAAAGGGGGCATTCACTGCTGATTCCATCTATCAGGTTGGGCGAGCTACAGCATCAGTGAGATCAAGTGTCACGTCACCTGCACGTCATCGCAACCCAACTAACCAGTGACAGTATTACACCTCACAGCATTGAAACGTCCACATCTCCTACCCTTGCGCAGTGACGGAAATAACTTAGGGATTGCCAAGACTCACTTACACAGCGTTGAAGGAGGCAGTGCAGCAGTTTAACAGCTGACAACACAAGCACTGTGACAGGTCAGGGACGAATGAATCAAATGAAAATATCAGCTGCGGAGAATCTGTGAGTCGCCAATGTAAAAACATTATTTCACTACTCTTTCAGGCTATGAAAGCAGAAAAAAGTGAACGAAAATACCACCAGTAGCAAGACCATTGAGCCAACATTTAGTTGGCCAAAAACAAGAGTCCTGCCACTGAATCAGCAAATGGAAAAGCCAGTCGGAGAATAAAGTCGAAAAGAATTGAATGTAGTACGATTTTAAGAGCATGCACTAAGTGCCTATGAGCACTTACAGGATTACTAACACTTTTCTATTCATAAGACAATAACGCCATTCAAATCAATAGGCAATTAAAAACATTTAAATAAACCACAATAACAGATAAGCCAAAAATTGCTCAGCTAAATAAGATACAATATCATAGAAGCACGACCAAATGTGTAAACATTTCAAGGCTAATGATCATCCAGTTTTACACATTGAATGGGTCCATCTAAAACACCAAACCCTCCGAAGGAAAGACCTGGCACATCTACTATCCTGCGAATAAAAAAAACGCCTATGCACCTCTCACCAAATATGCAGAGCGAGTGCACGATCGACACCGTCAATATCGAAAACAAAGTAAGGTCTATTCAAATCCGCTCTCCACCTCGCTCCCATTCCAACCAAGGCCCAACCACACACACCCACCACTTTTGTCGCGTGTTTCCACTCCCTGCTGTTGTCTTAACGGCGAGGGTTTTGTCAGTACAGTAGTCAGTCTTTGTTTGACCTTCACTGCGCAACTCACATTAAAGGGCCCACCACTTGCCACACACACACACACACACAAAGCACGGACAACTTCCCCAAACAGGGGCAGTATTTCAGAGGCACCCCACTGTCAGCTAGCACCCAATACTTTGCCACTCCATGAAGCCAGTGCAGAGTTGCTCCACCATTCATGCTAAGTGTTGAACACTGCGCAAAACTGTGGCTGATGCTTGCACCTCCACTGCTCTCAAACAACATCAGCACACAAATATGCATTCCAAGCTGACAAGGCCGATCGCCTCGAACACCATACACCACCATCTCGTTCCGCATTTCCCCACTGC